TTTTGAGGAATATGTCCAGTTTCCGGTGGAATTCCTCAATTCAATTGAGGTATCAGGTCTCCTACCACGTGTACTTGGATTAAAAGTTGGCATGACAATTATGATCTTGAGATCTCTGAACCCACCGCAGTTGATGAATGTTGAGTGCACGAAAAATGTTGTGGAGGCAGAAATTGCAGTTGAACCATACAAAGGAAAGCGTTATTTTTTTCCACGCATACCTCTTCAACCATCCAACTCAAAATTCCCCTTCCAATTTAAACACAGGCAATTTCCCTTCAGACACTGCTTTGCAATGGCCATTAATAAAGCCCATGGGCAAACACTGAAATGTATTGAACTTGACCCGAATCAGTCAGTATTTTCACATGAAATGTTATATGTTGCACTATCAAGAACTGGTGACAGGCATTCTGTATTTATTTTGTCGCCAAATGCAGAAACCAGAAATGTTGTCTACGAAGAAGTCCTATAATCACTCCAGGAGTAAAAATGAGCATGTGAGTACATGTACCTATCTGTTTATTCTGATCTAAAATGTTTAATTAGTTTGCGGGTTTCTTTGTTTTGAAATTTGCCATTGTTATATTTCACTTACAGCAGAAAACTAACCATATTTCCTTCTGCCTCACCCTTCCCTTTTCGACTACCCTGAGCAAATCCGGCTACTCAGCTAGTCTACTACTATTACAATTTGATTTATTTTTAGTTATGTTTGGTTCTCAGTGTGGAGTGGCGTCTGTCTGCAGTCGAAGTCTACAGCTAGAACTTTCTTATTACACCTCAACGGATTGCATTCCAAAGACAGATCTCAACCTACGACTGTATTATCTTCATGTTCGCTAGACCCAGAATACATAGACCAGAGCATGGCAATGTGTTCAGGATTCCTTAATTCTCTTGAAAAGCGTGAATGTTTCCTTGATGACAGTTGGTTACTCGCAAAGCCTCCTTTCACCTTTTAGGGTATTAACAAAACATGTTTACTCCAAAAATGCTGTTTATTGGGCACCCAACCCCCTACTGTCTCAGAAGCCGCCCCATACTAAACGTGCACAGTGTGTGTGTGTGTGTGTGTGTGTGTGTGTGTGTGTGTGTGTGTGTGTGTATGTGGGGGGGGGGGGGGCGGGGTTAATTCATAGTTTAGCGGTTCTTTGTGTTTGGGCACCACTGACTAATTTGAATGATGCGGAGAAAGCAAAGGAGGGTACGTAGAGCACTGATTCTAGGAATACCAGCATAGATAATTGTTAGATTTTTGATTTGCAAAAAAAAAAAAAAAAAAAAAATTAACAAAAATAATTATTTAAAAGTGGCACTGATGGAAAATTAAATGTCAAAAAGAAATTGAAGGAAAATATAAAGTCAACCAACCGTTTCATGACTTTGTTTACAATATTTTTAAACATTGGTGAACTTTGCGTTTATGGGTACCTTTAGAAAAAGCAATTTCCGTTTTCAAAATAAGTTTCTACAACATGAATTTTATACTACACAAAAATCGTTTCAATAAAAGGTGTTATTCCAAATTATAGCATTATAGAACAATTTTTAAGCGAGATACTCAGGAAAACGTTGAAAAGTTCTTTATTGAATAACCTTGTATTTTACTTCTTTGTTTTTACTTGTCGATAATGTCGTTCTTTACACTTGTTTATCTGTTTGGCCCGGAAGCGTTTTGGAGTTGAAAAAAAAAAGGAGAAAGTATTTAGTTTACTTTTAGTATAGTAAGGTTTTCACGGCGCTCGCAACTGCATAAGGTCATATGAACGTCAAGGGGTGGATGTCTACAGAGAATTCCAAACGAGGAATCAGGCTTACTATGCTCACCTCTCTAGCCTCAACAGCACAAAGTCTGCTTCGACTATCAAGGCACCCCAGAAATAGCAGTTCACATGAGAGTGACAAACTTACAAAAGAAGAAGAGGAAAAATGACGATAGTAAGTATGCGGAAAGAAAAAGCAGCGGTTCCCCCTATGTTGTTCCAGCACAGTATGAGCCTGGTGTTAATTATTAGCGTAATCTGTGAGATAGAGTTATAGGCCCATGGCACTAGGGTGCGTTGAGCGGGCAGTTCCCCCTATGTTGTTCCCGCACAGTATGATCATGATGTTATTAGCGTAATCAGTGAGATAGAGTTACGGGCCCATGGCACTAGGGAGCGCTTAGCGGGCCGAACAGAGTTGCCTCTTCATGACACTAGTCTAGGTGACGCTAAAGAATTTAGTTTAAAGGCAAGGCTGGACCTCTGTACATTCCACTTTCCGTCTCGGCAGTTGAGACACGAGTGGCTGACGGTTTCGTAACTGCTTCTCGGCTTTTTTGCTAAGATCAAAGGTGGTATCTGTTCTCAGCTTCTCCTC